ACATGGTAACTGTATTTTTAGTTTTTTGAGGTTCCTCCAAACTGTTCTCCATAGTGGTTATACTAATTTAGATTCCCACCAACAGTGTACGAGGGTTCCGTTTTCTTCACATATTCACCAGTGTGTGTTATTGTCTGACTTTTGGATAAAAGCCATTTTAACTGGAGTAAAAGGCTATCTTACTGTATTATGTTGATGCAAAAGTAACTGTGGTTTTGCCATTACTTTTCAATGGCAAAAACTGCAATCACTTTTTAGTTTGATATGCATTTCTCTGATGATCAGTGATGTTGAGCATCTACTCATATGCCATCTTCAATCGTCTGTCTTCATTTGAGAAATGTCTATTCAAATATTTTGTCCACTTTTAAATTTAAGAGATTAGATTTTTTTCCATAGAATTATTTGACCTACTTATATACTCTGGTTATTAATCTCTTGTCAGATAGTTAGTTAGCAAATATTCTCTCCCATTCTGTGGGTTGTCTCTTTACTTTGTTGACTGTGCAGAAGCTTTTTAACTTGATGTGATCTCATTTGTCCATTTTTTGCTTTGGTATTACACAAGAAATTTTGGCCCAGACCAATCTCCTAGAGAGTCCCCCCATTTTTTTTTTTTTTTTTTTTTGGTAATAGTTTCATAGTTTGCGGTCTTAAAGTTAAGTCTTTAATCCACTTTGACTGGATTTTTTATAAGGTGAGAGACAGGGGTCAAGTTTCATTTTTCTGCATATAAATATCCAGTTTTCCCAGCACCATTTATTAGAGAGGTTGTGTTTTCCCCAATGTATGTTCTTGGCACCTTTGTTGAAAATGAGTTCATTGTAGGTGTGTGGATTTGTTTCTGGGTTCTCTATTCTGTTCCATTGGTCTATGTGTCTGTTTTTGTACCTGTGCCATGCTATTTTGGTTACTATAGCTCTGTACTGTAATTTGAACCCAGGTAATGTGATTCCTCTAGTTTTGTTCCTTTTGCTCAGAATGACTTTGGCTCTTTTGGGTCTTTTGTGATTCCACATAAATTTTAGGATTGTTTTTTCTATTTATGTGAAGAATGTCATCAGTATTTTGATAGGAATTGCACTGAATTTGTTGACTGTTTTGGGCACTGTGGACATTATAACAATATTGATTCTTCCAACCCATGAACATGAAATATCTTTCCATTTTTTGCCATCCTCTTCAATATCTTTCATCCGTATTTTATAGTTTTCATTGTAGAGATGCTCACTTCTTTGGTTAATTCCTAGTTACTTAATTTTACTTGTGGCTCCTGTAAATGAGATTACTTTTTACATTTCTTTTTTCATATTGTTTACTGTTAACACATAGAAATGCTACTGATTTTTGTATGCTGATTTTGTATCCTGCAACTTTACTGAATTTACCAGTCCTAATAGTTTTTTGATGGAGTCTTCAGGTTTTTGCAAACAGAAGATCATATCATCTGCAAACAAGGACAAACTGGCATCTTCCTTTCTAATTTGGATGTCCTTTATTTCCGTGTCTTGGCTGACTGCTCTAGCTATGACTTCCAGTACTATAACAAGTTAAGAGTGGTAAAAGTACACATCCTTGTTATGTTCCAGATGTAAGAGGAAAGGCTTTCAGTTTTTCCACAGGCAAACTTTTAAAAAGAACTGTCTCCAATTGCTGTTTTGATTTCCTTACTTGTAACACGATCTTAACTCATTTCAGGGTTGTGCTGCCATACACCATTAAAACTGCAGTTCCTAAACTTACCAAATACCTTAATGTCGCTAAATCTAATGTGTGGTATTTGTTTTGTTTCATTTTTGAGACAAGGTGTCACTCCGTCACCTAGGCTGGAGTGCAGTGACGTGATCTCAGCTCACTGTAGCCTCAATCTCCCAGGTTCAAGCAATCCTCTCACCTCAGCCTTCAGAGTAGCTAAGACTTCAGACGTGTGCCACCAAGCCTAGCTAATTTTTTTTTGGGGGGGGATGGAGTCTTGCTCTGTTGCCCAGGCTGCAGTGCACAGGCACAATCTTGGCTCACTGCAACCTCCGCCTCCTGGGTTCAAGTGATTCTCCTGTCTCAGCTTTCCTAGTAGAATAGCTGGGATTACAGGCATGTGCCACCATGCCAGGCTAATTTTTTGTATTTTTAGTAGAGATGGGGTTTCACTGTGTTAGCCAGAGTGGTGTCGGTCTCCTGACTTTGTGATCCACACACCTTGTCCTCCCAAAGTGCTGGTATTACAGGTATGAGGCACCACGCCTGGTTAATTTTTTTATTTTGTAGAGACAGGGTCTCACTATGTTGCCTAGGCTGGTCTCATACTTCTAGATTTAACTGATCCTCCTGCTTCAGCCTCCCAAAGTGCTAAGATTACAGGTGTGAGCCATCACACCTGGTCTAACGATTTTTGTTAGTCCTCATCTTAGTTGCCCTTTTGGTAGCATACAACAGAGTTGACTATATAGTTCTTAATCATCCTTACTATGTACTTCGTAATAGTATAGACCACTTACGTGACAGCACAATTTAGCTTGTTTTTCTTCTCTATATTTTAATTTTCTTTAAGCATAACACACATATGCTCAATGGATTATCACAAAGCGAATATACTTGTGTAAGTCCTACTCAAGTCAATAAACAGAACACTACTGGCACTCCAGAACTCACTTCTATATTTCTCCCAATCACTATTCATGCCTCCTCCCCAAAAGTAACCACCATCCTAATATGTAACACTATAGATTAGTTTTAACTGTTCTGGAGCTTCATATAAATGGAATAACATAGTATGTACTATTTTGTGTCTGTTCTTCAGTGAACTCTTTGATAAAATATCTGTTTAAGCCTCTTGTTCATTTTCTACTGGGAAGCACTTATATACACTAGATAAAAGCCCTTTGTTCATTACAGGTGTTGCAAATATATTATTCTACTCTGTGGTTTGCCTTTTCACTCTCTTAATGATGTATATGCAACCCAACACAAATTCTTTAACTTTATTTATTTATTTTTTTTTTAAGCTCATCAGCTATCATTAGTGTTAGTGCATTTTGTGTGTGGCCCAAGACAATTCTTCATCTGATGTTGCCCAGGGAAGCCGAAAGATTGGACATCACTTGCTTAAGAAATCTTTCTTTATCCAAGATCATGAGAATATCCTACATTATTTCTAGAAGTTTTATTGTATTACTACCTCTCTTGTTCAGATCTTGGAATTGATTTTGTGTATGGTAATAAGGTAGTGGTTAATTCCTCCTCATCCCCACACCCCTCCAAAAAGATATCTTATTGACCCAGCACCAATGACTGAAAAGATCATCTTTTCCCTTACTGCCCTGCAAGGGCACTCTTTGTCACACCAAATGTCCTTATATATACGGGATCACTTCAGGACTCTCCATTCTATTTCATGATTTATTTATTCTTCCACCAACACACTATTATACTTTTTTTTTTTTTTTAGATGGAGTCTCGCTCTGTCACCAGGCTGGAGTGCAGTGGCCTGTTCTCGGCTCACTGCAACCTCCAACTCCCTTGTTCAAGTGATTCTCCTACCTCAGCCTCCTGAGTAGCTGGGATTACAGGCACGCGCCACCATGCCCAGTTAATTTTTTTTTTGTATTTTTAGTAGAGATGAGGTTTCACCATGTTGGCCAGGATGGTCTCGTTCTCCTGACCTTGTGATCCACCCACCTCGACCTCCCAAAGTGCAGGGATTAAAGGCGTGAGCCGCTGGACTCAGCCTTTTTTTTTTTTTTTTTTTTTGAGATGAAGTCTCTCTGTCACCCAGGCAAGAGTGCAGTAGTGCAGTATTGGCTGACTGCAACCTCCGCCCCCTGGGTTCAAGCAATTCTCCTGCCTCAGCTTCCTGAGTAGCTGGGACCACAGGCGCATGCCACCCACCATGGGATATTTAAATTTTTTTTGTTTCCTGTTTATTGCTAGTATATAGAAATACAATCAATCTTTGTACACTAACTTATATTTTAGTTTCTATGTGTATTCATCCTATCTTACTATCTTAAAAAATGTTCTAAGAGCAGAAATTTTATATTTCTTTTCATTCTTAGCTACTGGCATAGAATGTTACATATACAGCAATTATTCAATGAAATACTTGACAGCAGAAATTTTGGCTAAAGACAAATCACTTGGAGATAACAACAGGAAAACAGAACAATTATCTAATTCAAGATTAGACTGGTATGTAAGGAAGAACAGCTCTAGAAGTAGTGTTTTTCCACATAATATTTATGAGGATAGCTTTTAGTGCAAACTTAGGACATTCGCTCTGAAAATGATTATGGACTGTCATGAGTCAGGATGGCTACCAGACTTGTTAAACACAAAAGGTAAGTATTGGCTCTAGAGTAGACATTTTTGTCACCTTATCTTTGCCTTTGGGCCCAGTACCTTGAACACTGTAGATATTTAACAATTTCCTATATAGTTCTCTCTTCCATAACATTGTAATAATTCTTGAGACTATAGTTGTACAACAGTCAGGTCCAATGCAGTGGCTCGCGCTTGTAATCCCAGCACTTTGGGAGGCTGAGGCAGGTAGATCATGAGGCCAGAAGTTCGAGACCTGCCTGGACAATTTGGTGAAACCTAGTCTCTACTAAACATACAAAAATTAGCCAGGCATGGTGGTGCATGTCTGTTGTCCCAGCTACTTGGGAGGCTGAGGCAGGAGAATTGCTTGAACTCAGGAGGCGGAAGCTATAGTGAATCGAGGTCACGCCACTGCACTCCAGCCTGGTCAACAGAGCAAGACTCAGTTTCAGAAAAAAAAAGTAAGACAATAGTCAACACGTCATTGCAAATAATTAAAGCAAAGGAATTGAAAGAAGGTGACTCTAAGCTAGTTTAACTCACAAAGAAGTTGGATGTAAAATATAAACAGTCTATAAAATGGTTACACCCAGACAGGTTTTTAGTAGAATTTAGGCCCACACCTAAGCTGGTTTCAACAAAACATGTTAAAGAAGTACAGTGGAAATAAGATGAGAGAAAAACTGACTTCTCCAAGGTGACTCCTTGGAAAGAAGTACTTGCTAACTCAACTAGTTTCTAGGAAAGCAACAACTATTTCAGAATAAAAAGAAAAATAACAGATTCAAATTCTGACCAAAAGTTTGGGGTTCCACTTAGAAATGAAGAAAAAGGCAACCTCTTCCAAAACCCCTAACCAAACCCTGATTTTAGAAAATATAACCAAAATTACAGAATTATCCATATTGATCACCATAGAGAAATAAATGATTCCATCTACTTACCAAATGTCAAAAGTCTATGGGTCACTAAGCAAATAATAACACAACAATGTAAAGCACCAAAAAAAATCCTACTTTTCAAATTCCTTCATTATTCTATTTAATCTTAATTATGTTCTTTTAAAATTACCATACCAGTCTGATTATTTAAATATCAATTATTAAAAATGAAAACATTTAACAGAATACATTTGGTAGGGAATGGAGAAAGAGCTAGCTGCTTTGATACTGACATTAACTCTTTGAGTATATAACAATGGAAGTAAGGTTTCTTTAGTAACCTTACTGGAAAAATGGAAGTAGGGTTTCTCCCTTCTGTCACCTACTCCAACCATAGTCCAGCATATTACTTTTGTGAGACATGCAAAATTAACTTAGCTAAATTAGCCTGATTTGATATTACACTGTACAAGACAACACCAGTAGTCACCTGAAGAAGATATATCTAAACTCCTTAACACTAAGTTCCAACACATACTGGATCTCTTATGAACCTCAGTGCTTCAACATGATCACCAAATACTCTCTCAAAATCTACAGATAAGCAATAAAACCAGAAGCAACACATTATCCCATCTGCCTAGGACTAAACGGCAACCTTATTAGTACTCATCTGAAGTCTATCTCTTTAAAACAACTTTGCTGTCAATCAGTTATAAAGAACAGAACTCTCTAATGGCCCCTAACTCTCAATGTGCCATTGATTTCAATGCATTTATTTAACAGGAAATGCAGGATGTTTTGTTTTACTCAGTAACAAGTCCATAAATTACAGGATAAAAGCTAGGAATTTATTTCCTTTTCATAGTAGCTTACCCAGTTTAGTGGAGCCCTCTGGTGGGTACTCGGGAAACTGACCCTCGGAAGGGACACTGACAGTTCTCCTCAGGCATCGCCCTTTGGTGGAATCTGTCTGCTGCTCCTGTCCCCCTTCCACAGGTATCTAGTTAACCAAAAGAAAAAGATGAAATTTAATAGTGAACTGACCATAACTACCTTCTGACTGAATAATGGTTTTAGTCAATGAAGAAAGAAGTGTGTAACAAAGAGTAAGGCAGGAGAAATATAAAGTATATACAATGGTAAGGTATTACCAACTCCTTTACAGGAAGCTTTCCTTTAAAAAGAAAACTGAAACATCAGGAAAGGTGAGTATGCAAATGACACAAAGTATGTACAAATCATGACCAGGTGTGTACTTGCTCCTGGAAACAAAACACTCACACAAATAAAAGGTTCTTCTATATCAGAAACTGGTTCACAAGCTCCAATTTTGTTCAGTGTTAAATAAAATAAATGGAAATAAAAGTTGACCAGAAAGATTAAGCTTCAAAATTCTCTTAAAAGATTTTATTAAATAAAGGTATTAAAACCAATCAAATTTTCTTCAATTTTAGAACTGAGGACATAGACATAGTTAATAAATCACATTTTCAGTGGAAACTTGTACAGATACCATTTTCTTCCAAATGTCAGACTGTTTTTATAATCCTAAAAAGCATTTTTTCTGACATAATTTCAGAAACATATCAACTGGTTATGTGCATATGTGGAATGAGAACTATGAATAGTGAAAAAAAAAATCTAATGCCAATAACCACTTTAAAACTTACAAAGCAGGTTATCATTGTAGAGTAATGGGATGGCTCAAAGTTGTGGTTTGGCTTTGTTTTTTTTCCTAGTAATGCTAAGTATTCAGTAATGAGATTTTACTAGTAACTTTTATCAGAATTAAGTTCTGTGTGACATCCTAGAGCAGGGCGTGGTGGCTCATGCCTGTAATCCCAGCACTTCAGGAAGCTGAGGCAGGCAGATCAGGAAGTCAGGAATTCGAGATCAGTCTGGCCAACATGGCGAAACTCCATTTCTACTAAAAATACAAAAATTGGCCAGGCATGATGGTGGGTGCCTGTAATCCCAACTACTCGGGAGGCTGAGGCAGAAGAATGGCTTGAACCTGGGAGGTGGAGGTTGTGGTGAGCTGAGATCACACCACTGCACTCCAGCCTGGGTAATAAGAGCAAAACTCCAACTCAAAAAAAAAAAAAGATTAAAAAAAAATTGTAACATCTTAAATAGTTTGAGAAAGTAATTAATCATAATTCCTAATTTATTATGGCTCCAATACTGCTTTCAATAAATTTCAGTAATAAAATACTGAGTTCTTATATGTGCAAGTCTAATGAATTTATATGTGTGACATTATGAGGGAGGCATTATTATTATCTCCTTTTTTTAAAATCTTTTTTTAGAGACAGGGTCTCGATATGTTGCCCAGGCTACAGTGCAGTGGCTATTCACAGGTGCAATCTCACTACTGATCAGCATAGGAGTTTTGACCTTCTCTGTTTCTAACCTGGGCCAGTTCACCCCTACTTAGGCAACCTGTTAGACACCCACTCCTAGGAGGTTACCATATTGATGCTGAACTTAGTGCAGACAATCAATTAGCATAACGCACTACAGCCTAGAACTCCTGGGCTCAAGCAAACCTCCCACCTCAGCTTCCTGAGTAGCTGGGACTACAGGAATGTACCACCGCGCCTGGCTATTATCTCCTTTTAAGAGATGGGAAATGAATGATTTATTTCTCCAAATGATTATAATGGACACGTATCACATCAATTGATCCAGCAAAACTGGGACAGATATAGGCTTAAGTGTACATGCCTTCTGCTTTGCTTCGGTAATCCAACTCCTATGACTCAGGTCAAGGAGATGATGGCAAGGAAAACTCTCTCTCTGTTACTGAGAATCTGAGGAGCAATTTCCTAATGCCTCCATAAGCACTTAAAATTTTCATACTCCTTATAGAACCTGCAATTCTCTCATTTCCTCATTACCATAACTATGGTTACTCTTTGCACACTGAGAAACAAGAAGGGCAGAATTTAGAAATGTAAATTACAAAATTAAGCCAAGGCCAAACAATAGCATCAATAAAGACATGAACTCTTCCAAAAGTACTCTGTAATATAAAACTTCACAAACAGTAATCTAAGTCATCTGTCCCTTTCAGGATGGAAATTTTATTATCTCTACCTAAATAATTAAAAGCGTATCACCGATAGGTTTAAATGACTATCTCCTATTAAAAAAGGCAAAACATATCCTGTATCTGCCTTAAAAGTAGGAAGAATGAGAGTAAATTTGGAAAAAATAGTCTAGTTCTTTGAAGAAATAGTTGAATCTAAATAAATAAACTATTTGATAATACTTCTAAAAATGCCTATTATCTTAAATAATAAAGGTCTAAACCATGCAGAAAAAAAGCAGGAGTTTTTTATGGTGTTTTAGGAGGAAATATTTTTTCTATGCAAATTTATAAAGGTCATATCCAGGAAAAAGTAAGAATGGCCTCTATGAGGACATATTTTATCTCTGCAGTATCAAAGGAGAGAATAAATACAATATAGCAAACTTCTTATTTGGGCCTAAAATTCACTCAATTTTCTCCAAGTTTTAAGGTAGACTCTGTAATTCCCAATATTTAAGCTTAAAATAGGATCAAAGGTTGTATTCAAAGTATCACTTTTAAAGGTTAGGCCATTTTACTCCTCATCCAGGATACAGGGAACATGATGTAACTTTTATTCTAAACTGCATTTTCTTAAGAATATTTTACTTTCTTTTTTTCTTCTTTTTTGAAATGGAGCCTCGCTCTTGTTACTCAGGCTGGAGTGCAATGGTGTGATCTTGGCTCACTCCAACCTCTGTTTCCCAAGTTCAAGTGATTCTCCTGCTACAGCCTCCCAAGTAGCTGGGATTACAGGCACATGCCACCATGCCCAACTAATTTTTTTCTATTTTTAGTAGAGACGGGGTTTCACAATGTTGGCCAGGCTGGTCTCAAACTCTTTACCTCAGGTGATCCACCCACCTCGGCCTCCCAAACTGCTGGGATTACAAGCTGTGAGCCACACTACAGATTGCTTCTTAGCTAAAATATTAAAAAGATATTGATCTACTCCTTTAAAATTGGATAGAGCCTATTTCAAGTACTTTCAAATGACCCAAGCTGAAATGCACAAATCTTAGCATATAGCTAAGAGAATCAGTTACACCCAAGCAATTTTCTCCATTCTGATTGTCCTAATTTAGTTTACTAGTTCATATTTACTTGTTTATACTGAATTGCTCATAAAAATTATGTATCTTCCAAGTTCTATAACATGAGAGTAAATTTTCTTTTTTTCCTTCCTTCTTCCTTGGCCTTGTAGCCTTATAATGAGGCTTCTTCTCTTCTTCTTTTACCTCAATTAAAAAAAAATTGTCCAAGTGTAGTGGCTCACGCCTGTAATCCCAGCACTTTGGGAGGCCAAGATGGGTGGTGGATCACCTTAGGTCAGGAGTTAGAGACCTGCCTGAGCAACATGGTAAAACCCCGCCTCTACTAAATACAAAACATTAGCTGGGCGTGGTGATACATGCCTGTAATCCTAGCTACTTGGGAGGCTGAAGCAGAAGAATCACTTGAACCCGGGAGGTGGAGGTTGCAGTGAGTGCTGAGATTGCACCATTACACTCCAGCATGGGCAAGAAAAGTGAAACTGTCTCCAAAAAAAAAAAAACCCAAGGTACGGTGGGGCTCCCATCTGTAATCTCAGCACTTTGGGAGGCCGAGGTGGGAGAATCTCGAGGCCAGAATTTCAAGACCCTGTGCGATATAGTAAGATGCCCATCTCTAAAAAAATTAAAAACAAAAATTAGCCAGCTGTAGTGGCGTGTACCAGTAGTCCCAGCTACTTGGAAGGCTGAAGCAGAAGGATCACTTAAGCACAGGAATCCAAGGCTGCCGTGAGCTATGAACACATCACTGTACTCCAGCCTGGGTGACAGAGACCCTGTCTCTCAAAAACAAACAAACAAACAAAACCAAGCACTTCAATTTCATTCCATTTTAGACAAAAAAAGTAGAAAAGGAGTAAATGCCTGTAATCCTAGCACTTTGGGAGGCCGAGGCGGGTGGATCACGAGGTCAACAGATCGAGACCATCCTGGTCAACATGGTGAAACACCGTCTCTACTAAAACTATAAAAAATTAGCTGGGCATGGTGGCACGTGCCTGTAATCCTAGCTACTCAGGAGGCTGAGGCAGGAGAATTGCCTGAACCCAGGAGGCAGAAGTTGCGGTGAGCCGAGATCGCGCCATTGCACTCCAGCCTGGGTAACAAGAGCGAAACTCTGTCTCAAAAAAAAAAAGAAAAGGAGTAAATGACATCTCAGGTATCTAAGATGTATTAATAACAAAGCCAAACTAGATCTCTGGCTCCTTGTCCTCTCTGTTAATTCCAAACCATCCATGAAAATAGAAAAGCAATGTGGCACATATTTTATTTATACATACACACACACACACAGTTTCATTTTCTGTAAAATTACCTTTCATATTGTTTAGAATCATATGGAAATTTTTATTTCAATCTGAACTTATACAGATTAGAAAGTCAAATACAGGAAATCAAGATTATGCTAACTAGCATTAGAAAGCTCTTCCTATTTCTTTTCCTAAAGAATGCTAAAAAGATTCTTAGGACTACTATATGCTTAAGAGGATTTTTCAGTACCTTAAAGAAAAAAAAAACATTCCTCAACTTTCTTATCTCCTTAAGGCACTGTTTCTCAAAACACATGGTCTAGGTACCAGCAGCAACAGCATAACCCAGGAACTTGTTAGAAAACCACATCCTCAGTCCCGCCTCCACCCCCACCTACTGCATCAGAAACTCAGGGTAGAGCTCGGCAATCTGTGTTTTAACAAGCCTCCAATTGATTCTGATGCTCACTAAGGTGGCTTAAGGTCTTGTTTTCTCTCTTTCCTTATTATGGGTAAGCATCTAGAAGTGTCATGTATGAAAGATATTCTCAACCTTGGCTGCAACTTATAATCACCTATGGGAGCTTTAAAAAATACCAATGCTGTTCTCACTCCTAAAGTGGGAGGTGAACAATGAGAACACATGGACACAGGGAGGGGAACAATAAACACCAGGGCCTGTTGCCGGGTAGGGGGTGAGGGGAGGGAATTTAGAGGATGGATAATAGGCGCAGCAAACCATCATGGCACATGTATACCTATGTAACAATCTGCACATTCTGCACATGTATCTTTTTTCTTAGGAGAAAAAATATATATCAACGCTTAGACCACTCCTAGACATTCTAGACATGCAAAGTAGAGAACCACTGATCTATACTCTGTATCTTCAATTCTAATTATTCACTTATTAGTCCTTGGCCACCGGTACTACGTGTGAAGGTATAAATAAATCATTTGGCCTTAGTGAACCTCAATTTCCACATTTTTGAGGTGTGATCTTTTGATTTCTCAGCTGTATTCCTGGAGTGGTCAGGTTTTAAACAGGTTTCTCACTGTCAGGGTCACATCTCTGTCATTGCTCAGCATGACCACTAGTATCTCTATTCTGTTTTCAATACTTCAGTTTCTCTCTGGAAAACTTATGTAGTCTTTCCCTGGATATGTGCATTCCAGCTCTTGGCCAAAGACTCTGTGGTATCCTAACCAGCAGATTCTAGTCCTTTCAGATGCAAAATTCTGTTCTGTTACTCATCGGCTCAGTGAGTCCACTGAACTCTGCCTGGCCTGGCCTCCAGATTACAGCACCACAGTCGGGAAATAGTATGCAGCAGACACCTGGGCAATGGTGACCACCGCAGTGGCTGCCTATTGTCCAATCGCCGAAAATAGTTGCATTTACGCGATTTCTCTCTATATCTATTTGATGGGGGGATGGTATCCTATTTTTTTGTTGCTTACAGTGGGAGGGCCAGTGTTGTACCATTCTGTCATAACTGGTGCCAAAAGCCTCTATTTATCTCTTAACCAAACTCCTGCAACAGTTTCTTCACTGGCATCTCCCTGGGACATTCTGCCCCTTAAAACTATCCTTTACAAAGTTATCAAAATAGTTCCAAAATGCAAATATGGTCATGTCATTCTGAGGTTTAAAGCCCTTCAGCAGTTCTTTGCCTCTAGCAGTGGTTTTCAAAGGAGTGGTGGTGTGTTTGTGTATGGAAGTATGTGTGGATGGGGGAAGTTATCTCTGCTTCAACCTGAACATAATTCTCAGTGTATCTGTTGTGCAGGGCTTCTGCATGAGCTTTTCTACAAACAAAGTATCCTTCTGCTTTAAAAAGGGTTTAAAACCTACTATCATATAAAGTAAAAGCTCCCTAATATAGTATACCAGATCTTCCACAATCTGGCCACTGTCTTTGTCTTTGTGTTCAGTTTTAGACTTCACTCTAGAAATACCTAGCCACTCTAGAAATTGCTTGCAGTTCTTTAACACATTCCCTATTTTGTAGTTCAGTGCCATGGCTTAGTTTGTTCTCTCATCCCAAAATGTTTTCCCTCATTTTCTTTTCCGTTCTACATCTGCAAGGTAAATGCTTATTCATCCTGAGGCTTAGCTTAGGCATTGTCTTTTCCAGGAATCTTCCTCCTCTACCAGTCCCCTAAGGGAAGGTTAATGTACACTTCCATTTAGTTCCTCCAGTAACACATCTTTCTCTGTCATTATACTTATTGTGTTAAATTGTAATTATTCATTTATGCAACTAATTCCATGTAAGTTAACAGCTTGTACTTTACCAGTAAATCCCCAAACCTTAAAATAGTTCATAAATGAATGAATGATAGGCACAGATGGGGGCCATTTTAGGCAAAGGAAAAGGCATAACATCAGCCAAGAAGATGGTAAGTATAAGACTTTTTGTTTTGTTTTGGAACAGGGAGTAGGCCAATTTAGCTAGAGCCTCTTAAGCGTGAGAAAAGGGATAAAACACCAAAACATATTATGAACATGTTGAGAGGGCTGGAATACCAGGCCATGCATGGGGAGCACTGAGAAGCCACTCAGACTTTTAGATCTGAGGGATGGCAGTCTCCTAATTGTTCTGTCTCTGTGTCTTGTTCTTCCAATTCATCCTAAAGATTAATATTTATAACACCTAACTTTGATCAAATTGCTTCTTTTATTAAGCTTTCCTTTGGTAATTCCCATTGCCAGTGGCATCTTAATGACATACTTAGGCCAAGGTTCCTTATAATAAATGGATTTCTTTCTCTTTTTCTATCCAGTTTACCTTATTCTATCCAGTTTACTTGTGTTATCAAATGTCACTTTAAAATTGTTTTATTTTTACCACTAAACTTGTTGTGGGCGAGAGAGAGGAAAGATCTATCTTGTTATTTGTAACTTCTAGCATACTGAATAACATATAAGGGCATATTATATATCTATTGAATAACTTAAAAGTGGTTCTGAATGAAATATGCCACAGGTAGCTTACCCCAGAATAAATAAAAGTTAATTTTTAGCTATTTGCACGAAGACTAATATTTTCATATTTTCATCAAAGAGTGTAAACAGTCTTTCAAAAGAAAAATGTTTAAATATTTAAACACTGCCTTTCAAAAGAAAAATGTTTAAAATATTTTAAAAGTGTCATTGTAAATGCATTGCTGCCTAAACACTAGCATCCAGCCTTAAACATTCCAAATATAGAAAGTAGAGGGCCGAGCGCGGTGGCTCGAGCCTGTAATCCCAGCACTTTGGGAGGCCGAGGCGGGTGGATCACGAGGTCAAGAGATCGAGGCCATCCTGGTCAACATGGTGAAACCCCATCTCTACTAAAGATACAAAAAATTAGCTTGGCATGGTGGCATGTGCCTGTAATCCCAGCTACTCAGGAGGCTGAGGCAGGAGAATTGCCTGAACCCAGGAGGCGGAGGTTGCGGTGAGCCGAGATCGCGCCATTGCACTCCAGCCTGAGTAACAAGAGCGAAACTCCGTCTCAAAAAAAAAAAAAAAAAAAAAAAAGAAAGTAGAATCTGCATTAAGAAAAATGGAGTCAAATGCACCCTGCCTAATAGACTGTTATTGCCAAAAGAAATAAACAAAAATTCAGCTTTCTTTTGTATTTTTATAATGGGGCTGTACCTCAGAGGGGTTCATGTTTGTCTTCTCTACTATTTTCCTCGATTCCTTAATCTCACGTTTACTTGGTCTCATCTCTTGCAAGCAAAATGGAAGTCAAATGGCCTCCTGTGCCCTCTTTGAACTGGATTGGTATCAAGCCAGCTGGGGCCTTTCCTGTCACCCAGGCAAGGAAATATATATTTCATAGCACATAAGCAATGTCTATTTGACACAATTTGCATGAAGCAGTTTACTAAACCAGTAAGTCATTTCTCAAGGTGACACTCCCAGCAAGCTTCCCTTTCAGCATTCTGACCCAATCTACCCTTCTACAACATTCTCAGATTGGTAATTGGTATGTTTGACACTCTTCCCATATATACTCCTCCAACAGACTTTTCCCTAGTTCTGACAAGAAACATGCAGAGTTAAGAGAAAGCATTAAAAGATCCCACACACTGACTTCATATATGAGTGATACTAGACTAATATAATCCTCCCACATTCTAGCAGTGCCTGGCTAAGGATTCAGTTTAAATCCTTAGAGAATCCTTTTAATTCATCTTTTTAATACAGCAATAAACACACTCATGATGACTTGATTAATGGTGGTTCTCTAAACCACCTTTTTAGAGAATTTTAGCAGGAAATTCCTTAACTCATTTCAAGAAATTCTAAGCTATTCATTGCCAAATTCTGAGGATAAGAGTTACAGTCTTTTTTTTTTTTTTTTGAGATGGAGTCTCACCCTGTTGCCCAGGCTGGAGTGCAAAGGTAGGATCTTGGCTCACTAAAACCTCTGCCTCCCAGGTTCAAACCATTCTTCTGCCTCAGCCTCCTGAGTAGCTGGGATTACAGTCGCCTGCCACCATGCCCAGCGAATTTTTGTATTTTTAGTAGAGATGGGGTTTCACCATGTTGGCCAGGCTGGTCTTGAACTCCTGACCTCGTGATCCACCTGCCTCAGACTCCCAAAGTGTTGGGATTACAGGAGTCAGCCACTACACCAGCGCCACATTCTTTATAATTCTTAAGTGTGGGTGAAAAGTAGAAGGGTGACAGCATCTTCTGGTCCTTACACAAGAAATGTATTTATAATCTTTTCAGGTCATAAAATTAATAGAAAGTTAAACTTATTCAAGTAGCAAGTATATCAATGGCTTCACATTTTTTTTCTAGATATTTAATTTAATTTTCCCAATTTTATAATGGCAGAACATAAACACCTGAGGGCATTAAACTGCTTTTGTAAACTGTTTTGTAAATTTATCCCTTCATTATTCCTCAGCTGGTCTACTGCAATAATCTTCTGACTCATCTATTTGCTTCTAATCCCTTTCATCCATTTTCCATGTAATCAACAGTTACTTCTCTAAGAAGCAAATCCGATGATGTCATTACCTTGCTAAATACCCTTTCCCTGGTCCAGATCATTTCCAGAATAAAATCCAAATTCCTCATCATGGCCTTTAAGGTTCTTCATTACCTAGTTCTTGTTAGCTATCACTTTTCCTCTTGCAAACTATGTTAACTCTCAATATTTTGCAATTTACTAAAGACATATGTTTCTTGACTTTGTATACTTATATATATATGGATATATTTATGCCCAAGCATAAATTTCTCTGTAAAACACTTTTTTGGCATTTTCCACTCCATACTGTAATCCATCCTAGGCCATACCTCAGTTAATCTTTTTCTTATGGTTATATTACAACTAAAAAATAAAGTTATTGAGGCAAACTTTGTATTACATAAAATGTACTGTTTTAAAGTGAATAATTCAGTGGCATTTAGTATGTTCACAATGTTGTGCAATTACCACCTCTATCTAATTCCAAATGGTTTTAACTTTATTTTACCTCAGTGTGTCTCAACAAAACTGCATATTTGTGACCACAATACTAAACATAATGATAGGTGCTCAGTAATTAGAGATGGAATCATGTATTCAACTGTAGAAAAGCACCTCATCAATTATTTTTCTCCTCTTTTTATTAGTTTTAGAAAAATAAAGAATTAAGTTGCATGTGCTGGGTAGATATATCATGGAAAGAAAAGATAAAAGATCTCTTCTCTTCAACTTATATTAAGGAAATGGACATTCAGAAATAAAAGTTTATAATTTGGCTCTCGCAACACTCATTCAACAAATATTTATTGACAGTTTCCTATGTTTCTGGAACTGTTCTAAGCACTGGTGGATACATCCTAGAACAAAACAGACAAAATCTTTGCTCCAAAGCTTATGTTCCAGAAGGAGAGACAGTAAGCATAATAAATAAATTATACAGCATTTTAGCAGCTGGCAAATGCTACAGAAAAAAATATTAGAGCTTGGTAATTAGATCAGAAGTTTTGGATAGTGATGTGGGGAGAAGTAGCAATTTAAAATAGGTTAGTCAGTGTTGGCCTTACTAACTATGTGGTATATAAGCAAAGAGATAAAGGAGGTGAGAAAGTGAGCCATGAAGTATAAGAGGGAAGAATATTCCATGCAGAAGAAAAAGCCAAGACTAAGGCCTTAGGGTGGAACACGCTTGATTGTTCTCATGAAATAGCGACAAGGCCGGTGTGTCTGGAAAGTAGCAAGTTGGGGAGTTTTGGGCCTTTGAAATTTGGAAGGACGGAGTTGCTATTAATGGAGACAGGCTAACCTCTGGTAAGTTATGAAGTAAAGATTAGGGCTGAAGTGTAGGGCATGCTGGAAATGACTTACATAGCCAAATAGAGATGTGTAATGCACAGATGGATATATGTGTCTAGAGAAGAAAGATGGCCTGGTACAGTGGCTCATGCCTGTAATCCCAGCACTTTGGGAGGCCGAGGTGGGTGGATCACAAGGTCAGGAGTTCAAGACCAGCCTGGCCAATATGGTCTCTACTAAAAATACTAAAATTAGCCAGGTGTGGTGGCAGGTGCCTGTAATGCCAGCAGAAGGCTGAGGCAGAGAATTGCTTGAATCAGAGAGGTGGTGGTTACAGTGAGCCAAGATCGTGACACTGCACTCTAGTCTGGGTGATAGAGCAAGACTCTGACTCAAAAAAAAAAAAAAAAAAGATAAAAGAAAAAAAAAGAGATGAGAACTGAGAGCTGACTACTGAATTTAGCAATGTGAAGGTCACTACTGAGCAAACACAATTCTGGCAGTGATGTGGGCAAGAGTCCGACTGGAATAGATGTAAGAGAGAATAGGAATTAAAGACATTGAGCATATATGTTTTGAGAATTTTTGCTATAAAGGAGAGAAGAGAAAGAGGTGGTATCTGGAGATACTAGTGAGGTTAATACAGTATTTATTTTTTTTCAGATTAGAAAAAGAGCCAGGTGCGGTGTCTCATAACTGTAATCCCAACATTTGGGAGGCTGAGGTGGGTGGATCACCTGAGGTCAGGAGTTTGAGACCAGCCTGGCCAACATGGTGAAAGCCCATCTCTACTAAAAATACAAAAATTAGCTGGATGTGGTGGCACATGTCTGTAACCCCAGCTACTCGGGA